AATGATGTATTTTTGTTTTGTTTTGAAAGAGTTAGCGTATTTTATGATTTTTAATGAAACATAAGTAAATATGTATAGAATATCCGTGAGTCTGGCTGTTCTATATAGGCTCACCTTTTTTTTAACTTAGTTATACATTTGTTTTGCATAATTGTTGTTCGTTTTTAAAAATTCAAAACGCAATATGTGTAGAAACAAATCTATACTTTTTTAGGTACTATCATGAATTTTTTTTTGTCACAATCACACTTCATTATCGATTAAATGAATATATTGTCTGTACCATGAAACCAACAAAAAACAGAAGTGCCAATGAAAGAAAATACTTTATTCTTAGTGTGTGCCGTCCTCGCAAGCAAATTCACCCTTTTATTATTCTCCCGTTGCCAACTATCTTTTCAAAGATACTAACCAAATAAAAAGAAGGGAAATACCATGATATAACCTCCCAAAGTAGCATATTTAAAGTAGTAACTTGTTTTTGAATTAATTAATGAAATGGCTGGATAATGACTATTATGTCTCTTTTTTATTTGTAAAAAATTATGATGAGACATTATGACGTGACATTTATTTGTCAGAGTCAATGTTTATTTTGCACAGAAAAACGTGTTTTTCTCTATATATTTTTCCGTGACATATTGCTGATCAATATATACTATTTTCATATACGGCATACCATAATATATTAACCATGTTAGTAATGGAGTTATATTCACAGACGGAATATAGCATACCATCATTGAAAATGACATTACATTAAGATATGTCGATAATCAAATTTTTATTATGATTGTGATTACTGAATTTTTTATATAAAGTCAAAATAAAAAGTTATATAACATGATATATATTATATATTTGTATGGTATAACATGTTGTATAGACTATTTGTATGGTATATCATGTTTAGTAGTAGGCAGCATAACATAACATATGATTTATATAATAATAACATAGCATACAATGATTTATATGATATATAATATGCTATATTGAACCTAACATATTATATATTACAAAGTATAGTATGCTACTATATAACATGGTATACCATACAATATATAACATGTTATATTTATACTATATAAACGTATAACATGTATATAACATATAATATTATATCCATGTTATAAACAATGTTCAAAACACATTACTTGTAAGTAGCATTACATAACATCTTATATATATATATATAACAATAACATGGCATACCATGTTAGCATATGGCATTTTATATATCATATAACACGATATATGAAATATAACATGTTATACCATACAAATATATAGTATGCAACATATTACATTACATTTGATTGAAACATTATATGAATCATTCGAGTAATTCATTTTTGTTTTTTAAATTTAAAGTTGCAACATATGCAAAAAAAAAGAATCTCGTTTTTTTATCTATACATATATGATAAGATGATTCAACTCTAATAATAAAAATTAGACATTTATATTAAGTGGAAAATATTTCATCACTCCTCTTTTTGCATTAAATAATGAACAATGTGACGCGTCATACTGTACATGATAGACAATGTTATATCTGATTTCAAAAGGGCATTTTGGTCACAAATTTGTTTTTCTTAGCTATAGAGTCTAATTAACTATATATGAGAGTGTCTACCAATTTACATTTTTAGTTATAATATGATATTAACCTAAATGACCCT